TGTCCAGGTTGATGAAGAGGAACACTTAACTAACATTCAACTCTAGAGGACCTCAACATCTAAAGTCATATATATCATTGATTTTAGGATGAAGTTTCATTTCGCTTATATGTGGCGAGACTTTACTTTGACAAAAGTATATATTCATATAATTGTACATTTGTACTCATATATTCTAAAAGAGATATATATATCATCGAAAGGGGGCACCACACCTCATCAAACTTCATTAAATTATAGGGACTATGTAAACCCATCAGAATAAGTGGATTCAAGTATAAATTCATAGGGGTTTTTTCTCCCATCCCCTAAACGTCTGGTAAAAAGACATCTAAAAATTAGTTGTATATGCTAGATTACTTCAACCTACCATTATGTGTGGAATCTAGAGTCCAATCACCTTGAGTAATCTATCGATAGCTAACATACAATGATATACTCATTATTCCAACCATATATGAAATAGGTCATAGATTATTTGTTTGCAAAGTATGACTTCAATTCCCTAATTGAGCAAGTTATTTACTCATTAGGGTAAGTTTATTGGTGAGTCTTGAGTGGAGTCTTGACTCAAGACTCACATACAAGACTTGTGCTTTTTGCAATAATGTGGTGCAAGACTATATGTAGTCTTGAGATGAGTTTTGAAATCCAAAACTCATCTTAAGACTCTACAAATTGAAAAAGAATTTTGATTTTTTTTTTTTTTTTTGGCCAATGATGAGCTGCGAACTCATCAGATCAAAATAGTTATTGATATTTTAATAATGAGTGTTAATATGTTTTAGGAGGGTAAGTGAGTCTGAAGTGTATCTTGGGATAATGTGTTAAATTGAAAAAAATTTAGTATGAGTCTAAATAATAAAAAATAATTTAAATTTAGTGAAAAGTTGACGTGACACAGTCTGGTGTATGAGTCTGGGTATTGGGATAAATACCCTTATTCCAAACCATAGAAAGATGTTATTTATCTCACTTTTACATGGAACAAACCTTAAGACTATTGACATAAACAAGCAAAAGCTTCAACAATTCTTCAAAACATTGGGGTAGTAAAATTAGGTAAATATCTTAAATCTATTGAGTTGTAACATTTTCTAAAGCTAAACATGTCCAAACATTTATCTCGCTAGTTTATCATGAAAAAGGCACAAAAATTCCCAAAAATTGTTGTTAAGAGTGTGGCCCAAGTATTCTAATGTTTGTCTTGTATTATGCAATGTTTATGCAAGTGCAAATAGTACAAATAGTTTGCCTTGTCAATCAGAAGAAAGGAAAGATCAATTTAAAGGTTATAGAATTGAATTCAATGAAAAAAATGAAAGGATGGATTGACTCAACGTGTTTTAATTAAAGGTCATTCCAATAATATACGAGGATGTAATGGATTTTAGATTAGGATAGGGTAGCATGCATGCACACATTGTTGCGTTTAGGTTACATATTAGGAATATAGGAGGGCTAATCATGTCTTATTATGAATTAATTTACACGATTAATTACCTAACAAAGACGTTAAACCTAATTAGTACGTGTGAACTGTGGTTTTCTCATAACTTTGAAAGCGAAAATGGTTTGATAATTGTTAATAAGTTGTTGAATTAAGAAGGAAAATTCTTAATTATTACTTAGAGTTCCACTTTTTATGGTTCAAGATATCTTGAATAACCCAAACATTTTTGTGCAAGTTCAAACCAACAAAACCAAGGTCGAATTGGGATTATTTGTTATTGAAAGATCGTGATGAAGGCAAACCCACGCTTGGTAATGTGTCTACTTACACCATACCTAACATTGAATAAGACAGGACTTGTTTTTGCAAATATAACCAATTAATGGTTGAAACCATATTGTGGGTGTTAATACATAGATTAATTGGTTCAAACTCTTGAAAATGCCAAAATGGGACGCATGAGCGATTTGTCTTTGAAGGTTGTATGTAATCTCCAGGTGGCCCCATATAATTGATTTGAGATCGAATTTTGTCTATAAAATCAATTAACTTTTAAAACTTCTACACATTTAAAATTTGATAAAAGTATTAATGTATACACACTAGTTTTCCTTGCACATACTATACACCTATGGGGTAATTATTTTTTTTTTTTTTTAAAATGTAGGAATAATCATTTGAATTAGTTTTTAAAGGACATTTTATTTAACTTTTTCTATGAAATTCCATATAATATAATGCAGCACCACTTGACTCAAAAAATAACGTACTCAAAGTGAATTTTAAGGAGATATTACATGCTCCAAACAAAGCTACAAATAAAAGGTTATGACCCTCTAAAAATGATGGAAATTTTACTATAGGGAAAACTAGTTTTGTAGGCATTGTACTCTTTAATTTGATGATAGCTTTACTTATTAAGTATTTTTGTTGAATAGAAATTACATATACTGAATCGATTTTTTGTTTTTTACTAATTTGAAACTTATTTTATTAATTGATTCACTATTATATTTGTTTTTTACTTAACCTTTAGCATTACTTTTAATTTGATCTTAGCTTTAATTATTATTTCAATTATTTTAAATGATTAAAATCAAAATTATGCACTAAATTAATGGTTAAATTTTTTTTACTAATTAAACCTTATTTTTACTGAATTAATAGCCTAATTATTTTTTGTGATTAAAACTTATTTAAATTAATAATTAAATTATATTTACTGATAAAAACTTATTTATAAATCAGTGGTTGAAGTAACACAAATGTTGGCTAAACAAATTGATCAATTTCACTTTGACTTCAACTCACTCACAGATAAAGATGTTGAAGATGAGTGAGAATGGTTTTTTAATTTGTACAGTACATCATTTACTATTTTACTAAGTTATGCCAATTAACCATATTGGTATAAAAATTAGCACCCTTGTGACATATTGGTATTAAAATTATCGTCGGCGATATATTGGTATCAAACTTAGCGAGTGGTGACAGATTGGTATAAAAGTTGACCAAGTGGTGACATGTTGGTATAAAAAGTTAACAAATGACGACATATTGGTATAAAAGTTAGCGAGTGACAATGTTTAACCCTTTTTCTAGCTGGAATAATAAACGCATACTGTACACATGATTTATTCTTATTCTAGTAACTTATTCTATACTTATTTTGCTTCAAATATTCATTGAATATTTTTTAAACACTATTAAAAGCGAAAAAGCCAAAGAATAAAAAGGAAGGAAAAAGGAGAGGAAATATGAGAATATAGAGGAATAATTAAGATTATGCATAGAAATTAATCAAGAAAAATTACAAGATTAAGCTTTGATTACATATAATTGAGTAAACATTGAGCTTTCAATTTTTTGCAATATTTAATATTATATAAATAAATTTTTTCTCAACTTCTTAATTACTTAAACTAACATGCCAATTTCAACTTATGAGACATTAAAAAAAGTTATTTCCTTTCATTTTGAGATTTTTGTTTGATCTTACAATTTTATTTTTATTTTTTTATTTTTTTTGTTATTATTTGCCGGTAATCTTAGGTACATGGGCATGTTGGAGAGAATTTTTTGTTGTTGATAATAATGAGTATTAGCAACAACGAAAAAAAATCAAAAATTAAAACTAAAATAATAATTAAGCACTTACTCTGACAAGAAAAACGGATTAAATGTCACATCTTGTTCATTTTTATACCAATATGTCACTATTTATTAACTTTTATACTAATTTGTCACCGGTGCTAATTTTTATACCAATATGTCACTATTTATTAACTTTTATACCAATATGGTCAATTGGCCTACTAAGTTACTGTGTCGTTTTCTATGTTCTATGTTCCTGCAAATGTTTCCTTTACATACATTGTTTTATACTTCCTTCGCTCCCCTAATATTATAACAAGGCGGGAAGACACGGAATTTAAGATGAAGAGAGAAATAGAGAGAATAAAGATATGGACCCATGTGATGAGGAGAAAGAGATAGAAAATATGTGCATATATGGTATTGTTGCAATACTTCATGATTGTGAAACTTTCTAAAATGATAATTGTTACAATATTATAAAAACAGATGAAGTATTATTTAAGCGGTTAAGCTTAATTTCATGTATAGGCCGTGCAAAAAATTCAACTTATGCTAAATGCAAACCAACAATTTAGATGCACCTAGTCAAATCTACACCTTCACTTCAAACTTAATTCTTAGAAACAAAACCAATACAAGTGTCCTTGTTAAAATAAACGAGCCATAATGTTATACTTTTAGATATATTCCTTTTAGTCCCTTTGGTAATTCAACATATAAACTTGGTTTGAAGTTTTTCTTATCAATTGGTGGCTCCTTACTTTCTGCCTTTTAAGTCCCTTTGGTTATTACTTCCAATAAGTACAATTTTGGCTTCAAAATGAACCCAAAATGGAGTTTATATTTTATATCAACTGCTCAAAAGAGACTAACAAGAGAAGTGTCGTTCTTGTGACCACTTAGACTCAGCCTTAAACTCTCAAGCTGTCTTTCCAGAACTTCAGTCAAAATAGGTTGCAATTCAATTAATCCATACATCCTTTACAAATAGGTAGAACGGTAGATAGAATGAGATACTCGGTAGACGAATGTAATTCAAGATTATGGATATAAATTTTAAAAGTTGGATTCGATGATAATTTCTATACCTACATTTGTTCAATTATCTTGCGTTTCCCTCTATCTTTCCCTTTTCTTTTCCTGTTTCAGGCGATAATATATTGTTACCTTTGTCAATATGATGTCAAGATAACAACAGTTACCAACTTATCGCTGACCAGAAGATTACACAGCAGTATCCAAAAACAAGAACGTTATTCTGCTCTCATGTTTGCAACTACAAATTCTGCAAGTCAAGTCCAAACTTTGTAGCTTGTCATCACAAGTACAGATTCTGTTTGGTGACAAGTTAAGCAATGTCATATCAATTAGACATTGTTTCACGAAGAGGTGCCTAAAAGAATGTTTTGCATATACCTGGTACAGAACAAATGGAAACAGATTCACAAGGTAAAACAACAGCACATTTGGTCTTCTATCAACTCCAATGAAGAGAAATTAATTTTACACTGTAAACAGGAAGAGGGTCTGGTCAACCTCAAAAAATCGAGTAACTTTTCGTAGCAAGACTTAACATCCGTTCTACACAACTAGATGCACATGGTTGTGTAAAAATTCTCCTGTACTCCCCTTTAGCAATAATGTCAAATATATTTAATAGGATCAAACTATCAATCGTAATTTACATGATATTAGGGCAGACAGGAATTACTGTTACAGTGGAAGTTCCGACAATTAGCAATAATAGGATTGGTTTTGATCCAGCTGGCTGTTTCTCAAGCATGGGCCTCAGATAAAACCTGTTAACTGGTTTCTGCACTTACAACTATTTAAATTCCCTTTTCAATTGATGGGCAATAATGTTCTAGAAGCCTGATTGTTACTGAATTTGTCGAATCTAATACAGGGCAATCACATAGCATAAGATGAACTGCCAAGGCTGGATTCATTTCTTTGAAAGCATTTGAGTGGTCTGACCTGTAAACATCAGGAACAGAAATTATAGAATTGTATATTTTCAGAATCACAAAGTCTCCAAATACATAGGAAAAACACACAAAAACTAAGATACCAAACCAGATATTACATCAAGTTCCATAACAATGATAACATCATAACAGCAAAGTTATTCCCTAATCAAAAGAGATCAAAGAGTTGTTCAACGTAAACTGGGCAGAAAAAGAAACATCAGTCATAAGATTATAAGGGAGGGGGGGGGGGTGATGGCCAGCAAGATCTGTCTCATTTAATTCATATCATTGTCAGTGATTTTTTAAAAAAACATTGTCAGTGGTTTCAATACAAAACACATAAGTGATTTCAGTATCGATATGAATAAACTTCTTCATACCATAAGACCAAACCACAGCGCCACACCATCACCCTGGTTCCTCTGACCATCTCACCATCACCCTTGCATTGCAATATTGCATTATTGTACATCAGGCTTTTTCATCTCGTTCTAAGATCAAAAAACAGCACTGGCTATTGCTTCACAGCAAATAAATAAGAGAGGGGCAGCTCAGTGAGACATTCGATTTACAAAATTGCAATCCAAAGTAAGATATCTGCCCATTGACAACTGTCGCACTTCTACTTTGTACATCATGTGAAGAACCAGTGACTCAGTAAGAAACAGGGAGCCTCTATTGCTTTTAGCCCACTAAGGTATCTCACTGCAGAGGTATTCCTCAAGGATTAGGGGGTGTTTGGTTCAAGTAATTTTGGTATGAAATATGCAAAACCCAAACTTTGTGTTTGTTTGAGAAAATTACAATTTCCAAACACATACCTCAAACCCACACATACCATACCTTTAGGTGTCAAATAAAAGAAAAAATTATCATTACCGAAAAAAACCAAAAACATGGTATTAAGTATCAAGTTCCAACCCAATACCACCCTTATCTCATTGCTAACTTCAAACCCATACCAATTTATGTATCAAATAATAGAAAGATTAGTAGAGTTCAGTCTAATTCCTCACAAAAAGCTAAAATTTGAAACGACCATAGTAGAAATAATCAAGCAAACTTTTTAAGTGAACTCTGCTAATCTTGCTCCCAGTGAACTGAGCCAAAGAAAGCAGCAAAAGGGGCATCAATTAGGATGAGCTTATTATATAAAAGCACTTTAATTAATTATCATGGTTAGAACCTATGTTACCCAATCTGATGACCCAATAAAGTAAATTTAAATTTTAAAACTCTCTTAATTTTTACTTGGATGCTCTTTCGTTTTCTCACTTACACAACTTTTTAAAAACTCTTTCAACTGATTATCTCATTATGTCCCTTTTTCTATATTGGACTGTTCCTTATGACGATATATGTTATCCAATCCCAAATCATTTAGGAACTAAGGCTTTGTTGTTGTTAGGGCGACAGTTCATGGATGTGGTGATCGCGTTGGAGAAATAGAAGCTACCAAATAGGGTCACTATAAGAAAATAGTGAACTTAAAAGATCTGAATTCATAACTCTACCCAATTCCTTACTAACTTTCCAAGGTGATGAGAGATTTTTAGATACAGGAGGGTAACACAAACTGGGAGAAAATCATAAAACACGTGGTTTCTTTGGCAGGGAAGGGGGGGGGGGGAGGGGAAGGGGAAGCTTGAAACTTAAAAAATGTGAGCATGAGATCACGTAACTAAGGATATTGTAAAAGCAAAGAAGATGCAAACAAAAATCCTGGTTAGTAGCACAGAAAAGGAAAGTTGAAAAACAAAGAACAGCATAAGTTGACTAAGAAAGAAACTATGAAAGCAATGCTGGGTAGCTCAAGGTAAGGGTCTATTAAATATTAAACTAGAGTTATGAGATGCACATGTTCATCAAAAAACTAGGGCCTTGGTTCAAATGAGATGCATCAAGGATGAAGGAAGCTGATCCAGGTCTATACCAAGAAAAGGTGGCATATACTACTTTCACAGTTGTTTACAACAAGATAGGAAATAGAACATATGTTTGGGGAGGCTGACTGGAACAGAACTAAAGTAAAATGTTAGTTTACGTTGTTTAATTACGAAGGAAGAAGAAAAAAGAACATTGAATAAGATAAAAAGTGGGAAATGGTCAAAACCTGATGAGATATAGGGGTATGGGTCTGTTGCACCAAGAAGCCATATGAATGGAGACTAATGAGTAATGACAGTGATCTTTGTATAAGAACATAAAACATATACAATATTACTACAGACACAATAAGTAACTAATACTATGATGCTATAAAAGAGAGAAATCAAAATGACAAAAGGGATGTATCTATCTAATAGGCCAAGCTGATTTTATGCCAGCAAGACACAGAACAGAAGTAAAGTTAGTCGGCTACCTTCTTAAACATTTGACAGTACTGTCAAAGGATAACAGAAAATTCTCGTTTAAATCCTTCCACCCCGTACACACCAGGGATCTCATTAATCTTTTATTTTAATTGATTTTAAAAAGAATCAGCAAAATTATAAGATGGAGATAATGGGTTGATACTAAATAGTTTTCAAAAGTAAGGGATTTAAGAGGAAATAAATAATAGAAAATAAATCAGGCCGTGAGAGACGAGAGTTATAATAAATAATAAGAGAAGATACCCAAGAAAAGAAGTGATGCACTTACAAAAAAAACGACCGGTACGGAGAGATTCACTTTAAAAAATGGCGGAATTTTTTTTAAAAGAAAGGGATTTTTTTCATATCTAGGGTCCATTTAGAGAAATGGGATGATCTAGGAGGGCATATACACTGCGCCAATGCTAATTGGAGAAATAAGAGGAGCATAGAAGTCTTGAACACCCTCCATCCCCAAGTAAAAGTTTCATTTGCCTTTTACAAACATGTTAGGATATTGAATAAATAAATAAGAAATTGGGGTTTGGATTTAGTTGATTATAGGTGAACTTTTTTTAAGATAGTAACAAGATAGTAGAGTTAGGTTGGTTTTTGTTTCAAAAAAAAAAAAAAAAAAGAAAGATAAAAAAAGGGATTCAGATAAGGGCGAATGAGACTTTGATTTAGAGACAAACAAATTTGGGTGAAATGAGACTATAATAGAGAGCGTAGGTCAAATAAAGCAACAATGAAGCATAGATCTCATGTTCAGTGGCCAATTAGCATAAGTCCATAAATTAACAGAGGAAAACTTTAACAATGTTACATGGGATGTTTTAACTCAACATCAAAAATAAAATCGAGATAATTAGAGAGTGTGTATATGAAATTGTTGAAGAAATTAAAAGAATCAAGGCTTAGACATTATGTACACCTCAATTGACAACATCCAAATGCACATTTGAGAACTGTAAAGTCAAACATTTCAAGGGATTGTAACAGAAAAAGTGGTTAACCAAGACCATTGAGGTGATTAGACAGGATATGACCCACTTAAGACCTACGGAGAACATGGTCCTTAATGCTTTGATGAATTTGTGGCGGCTCCAGGAGTTGGGTTGATAGACAGGACACCTATCCCTGATCAACAAAGCCCGTCTCCCTTACCCAGCTCAATTCCCCAAATGATGAGATGTAGACAAGTAAAAGGTGCAAGAAAGAAAAGAGAAGGCACCTTTATCCAACGCTTCCTGCGACCAAGGTTACTATATATATGATCAAGCCTCGCAATTATTTCTCTGAAAGTTGGCCTTTTCGTAGGATCTTCATTCCAGCACACTTCAATTAACCTGATAGCAGAACACAACAGACCTTATTTGCTTTAGAAAACTGATTAAAATTGACAGGAAGTTAATACCAAATCAGTTTCATCACATTAAAGCACCTCCAAACAATGCAGGATAATCTTTCAAAAAAAAAAAAAAAAAAAAAAAAAAAAAAAAAAAAAAAGACTTTATACAACACATAAAATATTTTCACTTTGTTTGGTTTGAAGGATATGGAGGGAAAGAAAGGGAAGAGAAAGGGAGGGATGGAATTTCTTTCATTTGGATAGCAAATGAGGAAGGAAGGAAATTGGAGGGGCGAGAAATGGAGGGATTAAATTGTAAGAAATTGACCTCTCCAACAATGAAGAGATTTGAAAAGAAAACTCATCATTTCCCCCTCCCCTTCCCTTCCCACCCCTTCCCCTCCCTCCCCTTCTTTTCCTTCTCCAATCTCTATCCAAACACACTGTTTATGATGAAAATCAAGTAAATGGCATCAGCATGAACCTACTAGATTTGCTCAGACCTCTATTATTACTAGGCTTTCAAGAGCTCCTAAGGCATGCCACAATCACAGATAATGGCATCTAGCCAAAAGCTTGGAGAATAACCTTAATATATACAATAAGATAAGTACTTTGATAACTTCAGGTTCTTGCTAAGCCTACTTTAGTAGTAAGAAACAGCAGACCTATCCAAATGGTCCGGTTGGGCAGGTTAGTTTCGCATTGAGTAAGTACAGGTCCAATTTCAGTTGGGTTAAAGACCGCTTAAGCCTCAAATTACTAATATTTTTTGGGTTGTTTCAGGCTTTGGATTGAAACTTTGTGATCAAGACACCAGTTTTCAATAGAATCTGATCAGGTTTCTCAGCTGAGTCGGCAAGTCAATTATTGCGAAGAATGGGTACTAGAATCTCTCCTCTCATGGAGCTTTCTAGATGTTGATTCTGTAAGCATGTAAACATCCAAGCTGGTTGATTTTAAAACAATGAAGTCATACAAAGCAAATACGGAATATATGACGACAAGTGTAGACAGCAGGTACTTAAACTGACTGAAAACTTAATGTTTTAGAAATTACTAGGATTTAAGGTACAACCAAATCCATTTTCATAGTTCTGTTAATTAATAACCTAACAGAATCCGTCAGCTACATGATTCACCGAAGGATACTTCTAGCACATACCTTTCTTAATCAATATTTAGAGACTTAATTCAGCTATTGTAGGAACCAAAGTATTCCAATAGTCACACAAAGGGAGTATGATACGAAAATCTTTAGTGAATTCATAGTTTTATACACTATATAAGAGGTATCAGTAGGCTGGGGGGAGGGGTGTGGAAGACAAGATCTACATGCAAGCTGTGCTGTTGAGCACATGTAAAAAAAACCACTTAGAAGCACTTTCCTTAAAAATAACTACATATATTGAAACTATGTAGTAGGCAAAGCCATGCTAAAAGCCCCATTCAAAACATCCATGCCTTTTTCTTTATCATTTAAATTTGGGGCATGAGTTTTTGGTATGAGGAAGATAGGATAGAATGTAAAATAAAAGGGTTAATACATGAGGAAAATGTATACTTACTCTTTCAATTTATGTGGATATGATTTTCCAGAAGCTTTAAAAGGTGGACGCTCATTTGCAGCATATGCCTCTTGAGCATTTTTGTCTTCCTTTGAAGCAAATGGTGGATAGCCTTCAATCATCTATTAAATCACCATCAAAACCATTAGAAATATCAAAGTCCCAATAAATATATGGAAAGACCGATCAAAAGATTACATATGCAATTTAATATATCATGTTCACAATGCTGCTACTTTTAGTAGATATCACACCCTAAATCTAATAAAGCATGTTCATAATTTTCTCATAAAATTGATAGTGTCGCCATAAACATGGGTGAGAGAGAGTCAGGGTGACTCCTGGCTAGAGAGAGAGAGAGAAAGTTGTGAGTGAGAAGGCCATTTACAGATGAAATGACCAACATAAGTATACATGACATTTATTTGTGAACAGGGAGTCAGCGGCGGAGCTAGCAGGGGACAAGAGGGGGGGGGGTGCAGCTGTCCCCCACTTAAAACAAAAAAAAAAATCAGGTTATAAATCTATTTGTGTGCAATAACTAAACATAAGAACTAAGATGGAGCGTTGGTTTAAGTCTTGATTATAGAGTTTTATTCACACCAATGAACACGGGGTCAAACCCCCTGGCAGTTCATTTTTAGCCCTCATTAAATTTTGAACAAATACAAAGTAACTATAATTATTGAACTTGCAACTTTGTTATAAGAATCAATAGTTGCCATCTTGGTGAGTGGAATGAGGCTGTGTTTAGAGGACCTAGGTTCGATTCTTTTTGTAGCATTCACTTTTTTTTTAATTATTATTATATGAGCAAGACAATATATATCCCATTTATTTCTTATCAATTTAAATGATTTTATTATAAATTTGCATGAATGAACCCCTCAAATTACGGTTGTAATAGGGAATTATAACAAGTGCATTTGATTAGCTATATTATCTTATGTTCGAAAACTTAGAAAATTCTGAACCCATAAGCAAATATTTTTGGAGGAAGAGTTGGTATATGATATATTTGTGTCATCTATACGTTTAAGTATTGATTTTCCCTAACATGTTTTTCAAACTATGCGATGTCTATTTGTCCCCCCGATTTGAAATTCCTGGCTCTGCCACTGCAGGGAGTATTAATTAAGAATCAACTCAGTACCTAATCAGTTATAAAAAATGAAGGCAGTTTTGTCATAGAGCATGTTTACATGACAAATATTGACAGACCAAATGGTTTCCAGTTAGAATTTCCAAAGGAGAATTCATGTATCACTTCTACATTTCAGTAACAAAGCTTTGATTTCTACATAGCAAAGTTTAGTGCCTCAATTGGAAAACTAAAGAAATTACTCACAACTTAATGGCCCTAATCAGATATGGAAAAAAAGGCACATCTTCATAGAGCGTAGCATGAATGAAGGATTCAAATAATCACTAACCCACTACAGCGCAAAAAAAGGTAAACATTAAGGCATGAGTAAAAATTATACTGAAATTCTGAAAATCCTCACAATGTTTCAGCTTACTGACTCAGAAATAATATCTAGTAACACACACACACACATGAACAAGAGCAACGCAAGTCATTATACTTCTGCATACCATAACCCAAGAAACATGACCTTTAAAAAGTTGAAGAAAATAATTCATATAAAAGTCAAAATAAGTAAGAGAACAATGCAAAAATGAGAGAAAAAAATATGATGGAACAGATTTATGTGTCCTTATGTTTACTAGATTGTATATCTTACAATACTGGTCTATAAACAAATGATACTTATAAAATTGAAGTATTTGATTCAACTCCAATACAAGAAAATGGTAGATTATTAATAAACAGCAGAGGCAGCTACAGCCCCTTGATCCTTGGAACAGAAAAACCTTCGGGGATATCAAGGCTATATGGTAAGTTGGTATCAAGATGTCTCACATGGAATATATGGTAGATTATTAATAAACAGCAGAGGCAGCTACAGCCCCTTGATCCTTGGAACAGAAAAACCTTTCGGGGATATCAAGGCTCTATGGTAAGTTGGTATCAAGATGTCTCACATGGAATATTGACCAACTCAAAGAGAAAAGATAAAAGAAAAAATTAATCTTTGGGGTATCAAGTTTTATCATTAAAATGTGGTTTCCCATCCTTAGGGATTAAAGATTTGACACTTAAAGCTTTGACACTTATGGAATTGTATTTTGTATGCACGACTTCCACTTGCAAACATTAATAACAATATATAAATAAAAAAATAAAAATTTACCTCTTGAAGAATTAAAGCAAACGAAAATACATCAACTTTGGTGTCATAATCTTCATTTCGGAAAAGCTCAGGCGCCATATACCGGCCTATTAGGGAAATGAAAGAAATATGACAATACTGATCATGTGACATGAGAATATATATACGTTATTTCTTTTTTATAGTCTTATTTGGAATATAACACAGTTTTCCAGTGCAGCAGTGTAATAACAGTATCTCTATGTAAGTACAACAAAAAATTTTAAAAATGGTATATATATATATATGTATATATATATATATATATATGTATATATATATATATATATATATATATATATACCAACAATCAAAATTACAAATAGTACTTACATGAATAATCTTCACAAGATATGGGTCGGTTTCTTTCAACTCCCTTGGAGACTTTAAGCAGTTTGCTCACTCCAAAGTCAGCAACTTTAAGATGTCCAGAATCATCACGCAATATGTTGCTGTCATCTTGTTGATAGCCAAAGTTAGAAAGTTTGGAAAATTTTTATATGAACAAAGATCTGTCAGAGCAGATGTACACCAATCCAACATGAGATCAAATTTGAAAGAACATTTGAGGTGGAGGAAAACTCACGAAGGTTCAAGGTCACAATGGATTATTGGATGTGGTTTTATCTCATGCAAATAACTCATCCCCCTGCAAAACAAGGATAATTAACAATCAGTCACCTCTAACCCAGGAGCATCACATACTGAGGCATCTTTAAAAGGAAAGGCAAAAAGTACTTTTTGTTGAAATTAACTGTAGTCCTCAGATTGAAGGACTAGACTACTGACAAAATACTCCAGGATGGTTCAAGATTCATTTGAAAAGTATTACATTAGTGCATGGGACAATTAATTAACAGACTAATCTATGGATATAATTAGTATTACATACTTGTTTTTAACCCATGCTATACACTGGTTTGTTATACGAATTTATTATTCCCTCCATCCCATGAATAATTCCAAAATTTCTTTTAGTAAATATATAAAAAGTAGTAGTTAAAATGAACATAGAAAAAAAAAAACTTAGTAGTAAATAGAGTCAAAAATTATGAGAAAGTGCCATTGAGAGAGAGAGAGAGAGAGAGAGGGTTGATGTGAAAGAGGGAAAGAGATAAGTTTACTTGATATAGACATGTGAACATAATTTTGGGGCAAGCCAATGGGACAGAGGTAGCATACTATTCATCTACTGCTAAACTATAACCAAGAAATTCACAATGATAAATTCGTTGCATGCAAAGCCAGTTAGGTACAATTTTACTGCAACATCTAATATGGAATAACATGGTTTTAAAATTTTAAATAAGTTATCTTCACCACGTGCTCTATAGTTTTTGAAAATTTTACCTGGTACCCTACTATAAAAGATACAAAGCACCTGACATACACTATTACTTCCAAGAAGAGACGAAAGTAATGAACATTAGCTCACTATCTGTGCTTGCAAGGAGTATAAAAATTACAACAGGCAAACTGGAGGCTTCAATTGGTTCAGTGGATACCCTTCAGATTCAGTTACCACTTCAAATGACAAAATCTTTTTAACCAAAAAAAAAACTAAAGGGTACCTAATCAACCAAGTGCGACCATAGGGGATTCAGGTGAATTTTTTTTACTCTATTCAGTTACCCTTCAGATGCAGTTACTACTTCAAAAGACATGAAGAGCACAGGACCGGACTTGCTTAAATACAATTTTCTGCAAAGTTCTCAGCAAAGAGGGAAAACTGTATGGTGGGTAGCTTGCCTGGCTGTCTCTTGGTGGATAAACTGGATATTCGAGGAGCAGGACATCTATTAGGTAATTCTTGATGGATAGAGTGTTGTTTCTTGCTTTGTTATGGTGCTTTCTGGTGGAGTATTTTCTAGCTGGATTACGTGATGTATAGCATGAGTAATTCGCTATATTTTTGCATTGGGTTTCTTCTAGCAACAATATTTTGCACACTAAAACAAAAAAATTCAACTTTTCCATCCATCTTCAAAGCAACTTTGACAATTTGTGAATGTTGAGAGAAGAAATATCCCATACTAAACCAATAAGTTTAATATCTAAGTCTCAACAACTAATGAGCCAGAAACAATTACTAAATGCCACATGGAAAATCAATATCCAGTGAGGATGACTTTGAGAAGTTAGACCTTGCAATGTCAAGGGCAAATCTCACTGCTGTTTTTGGTTTTAGCGCACCTTTGTCTTTCAGGAACTCACAAAGGTCTCCCTGTAGGATACACAACAAAGCAATCAGTCAACATCAATTACATGTAAGAATAACACAAAATTGGTAATTTCCATATACAGTTCATCATCTTTACACGAATAGGTGCATATATACTCTACTAAAGCAATTAGGTGTACTATCAATCAAAGAACAGGAACATAAGGGTCTATAAACCACCCCCTTCGTCCCATAATATAGTGCCTGTTTCTATTTTTCATGGGAATTAAGGGTAGTGGAGGCAGTGTGTAATTTTTCTAAAATTAGAAGTATTTTGTATGGGAAAGTTATATATATATATATATAGGGTTGAGATCCAATGAGAAGGATTTTATAATGAGAAGAATGAGAAAAAATCTTGATCGCACAATTAAATCCAACGGTTCACATTTTATCTGTGCAAAATGCATATTTAGCACTAAAATTATGCACATTCGGTACAACAGTTATGCACATTTACTTAAAAAATTATGCACATTCAATTTTTATACTTTCATTTTTCCTCTTTATTGCAACGAATTTGTCTCTCTCTCTCATTAAAGATGATTCAATGTTCTAACTTTTTAAATTCAGAGATGAAAGTGATTGTGGTTTTAGATAACTTGCAAACCCAAAAATAAGTATTTTTGGGCTTCATTACTAAGGTGAATTCAGATGTTGTATTGCGTCTTGAAATCGTAGCATTAAATAGATATACCTTGCTCATCTACTGAATACTAAACATTATGCACATTTAACTCAAAAAATAAGCATCTATAGTACGTACAATTTGCACATTTCTGTTAGTAAATATGCACATATCATTTTTAAAATAAGCACATTTTTTACAAGAATAATGCACATTCAGTTAAAAAAATTATGCATAATTGATTTTCAATGTTTGATTTAATCCCTTGTATACTTCGGTTCTTCCTACTATGATGTTTTCCATGACACACAAACCTTAGTCATGAAATATAGCAAATCTGAGAGAAAAAAGGGTGGGAAAAAGTGATGAAAATGGAGGACATAGATGGAGGGGAATGGGGAGGAGAGAGAAAATTGGGGGAAAAAATGGGGAAGTGATGAAGAGGGTGGCCTGGGGAAACTTCTTTTGAAAAAAAATGGGGAAGTGATGAACAGGTAGAGAGGAAAAGAGAGGAAGAGGAACATGGGAGGAAAGAAAGATATAAGAAATGTTTTTTTACATTATTTACAAATTTGTCATTAATGAAACATGTAAGAGCCATTAGATCATTCTATATGAACGTATGAGATTACTTCTCATCCTTCTCATTATAATGACCTTCTCATTTGACCCTAATTATATATATATATATATATATATATATATATATATATATATATATATATATATATATATATATATATATATATATACACTACCTCCGTTAAATGTTATCTGCAACTTTTGCCAAAACTGGATGATCAAGATTATGTGCAACTCTCGGTTTTATTTCTATTTTTAGTAAACAAAAACCCCGGAAATGACATATTTACCCTTACTTAAAAAATTTAATTTTCTTAATTTTACCCTTATCTTATTTTAATTACAATAACCTTTTTAATCTAATCTAAAATCATTAACCTAATTCAACCCACCCCATTTACTCATCTCCTGGCCACCACCCATTCATCTCTTTCTTCAACCTCTCTTTCAACCTTTCATTCTCTTCATCTCTTTCAACCTCTTCATGTCTCCTCCCTCACGAGTCACGACCACCGCCCCTCCCACCACCATTCTCTCTCCTCCTTCACGACCACCTTCCATCCCACCACCGTCTTTCTCCTCCCTATGACCACAACCCTTAGCTCCCACCACCAACGAACGATCCTCTTCATCTTTCCTCCCTTACAAGTTTCAATTGAAGATGATGTGCGATTATTCTGGGTTTTGTTCAATTTTCTGAGTTTCGATTTTCTGGTTTGATTTCGATTTTTTGGGTTTTGATTTCGATTTTCTAAGTTTTGATTTTTTGGATTTTGATTTCAATTTTCTGGGTTTTGATTTTCAAGGTTTTGATTTCGATTGTCTGGGTTTTGATTTCGATTTTCTGAGTTTTGATTTTCTGGGTTTTGATTTCGGTTGAAGGTGATGATGATGGTCGGATTTCTGGGTTAGGGTTTTAGGGCGTGGGTTTTGGGTTTTATTGAAGGTGATAATGGTAACGATTTCTGGGTTAGGGTTCTAGGGCGTGGGTTTTAGGTGTTTTGGGTGACAATTTCTGGATTTATGGGTTAGATTTCTGGGTTTTTAGGTTAGGGAGCGGGCTGCCGGGAGGAAAGCGAGGGGGGGCTGCCGGAAAAGGGGGGGAAGACGAATGAGGGGTTGTTTGTTTGGAGGTGGGTGGTACGATGGTGATTTCGTGGGGATGGTGGGTTTTCGTGAGGGTGGTGGTGGTTTCGTGAGGGAGGTAGTGGTTTCGTGGGGTTGGTAGTGGTTTCGTGGGGGTGGTAGTGGTGAAGGCGGCGGTGGTGTTGGTGAAGACGGTGTGGGTGGTGTTAGCTGGTCTTGGTCTTGGTGGTGGTAGTGTGTGGTTGATTAATTATCCAAACATTCTCTCTCCACCTTAATTACATACCACAAGTTCCTTAACTTTCTCTAATCTTTGCCCCTTAAATTTTGCATTGGCTTCCGTAAACTCTCATTTTGTTGCAGATAACATTATGGCATGAAAATAGGGGATATGTTGGGATATTTTATATAGGAAATGTAAATAAATTGTGCCTTAAGATAAAATTATGTAAAATAAAAATAGAAAGATAAGGAACACAAACAACATCTTAGGACACCCAAAATGCAATACAGGCACTGTATTTTGGGATGGAGGAGATATAAATAGATTAGGGCGTAAAGGTGTGGGTCAGAAGAGCTGTCTTAAGAGTACTCTAAAGGATTTAGCTTTTCTGGAAGGTAAAGAACCCATAGTAAATAATGCATGAAGTAAAATTTTAATGAACATCACCGCAAACTTACATCTAACAAAGGGCCAGCATTAAACAAAGCTAAGTGATACTGAATATCTGGAAATCACCCTCTTCATGATAATTAGAATAAAGAAGTATTTAGCATTCCACACCAAAAGAATTTTAACAAAGTGACGACAGAAGAGTCTCCAATAAATACTTCCTCTGTTCTGTTTTGTCTGTCCCATTTAGAATATTTTACTCGAAGAGATAAAAACTTTGACCACAATTATTCATCGATTTACATAGAAAAAATACTCATTTGGGATCTTGGTAGTTTCATTTAGATGTGTAGTTTCAAAATATTTCCTCCATCCTTTTTTAATCACAATGTTTCAAAATTTAAACTATTCACACATACTCTTTTGACTTTCTTTTGTGATTTTTAGAAAAAATATTGTGATGTAGGATCTTGATAAAATCATCTCGATATATTCTTTACAAAATCAACTTTTTAAAATTTTTACTAAAAAAAATAAATAAAGATGCTAATGACATAAAATGTGAATTGGCAAGCATGACACTCAAGCTGCTTTAAAAAGAATAGAGAAACTTAATTTCCTTATAAAACCAAGTTGAAGATATTGATGATAAAATATGTGCTTGGAAACTGTGTACAAAGTCAAATGGGAAAAAATAGGGAAGGAGGGACTAGAGCTGAAACAGAAAGATGAGTCTGACAAACTGCCAGCAACAAATGTTTCCCAGAAAAACAATTGAGAACTGCCAAGATGATACTAGAGAGTGAAGAGGTCCAGAAATGAAACTCAAGTCACAGAAATGAAACAAAAACATGAAGAGATAAAATGAATAACCTTGGGTAAGAACTCAGTAACGATCATCATCGGCGTGTGTTGAGTCACTGCACCCAAGAACTGAACTACGTTTGGGTGCCGGATCCTCTGAAGCAAAGAAAGTTCATCCCTAAATGCTCGTCTGCATTTATCAACAGTCAAAAATATCATATTAAGTATAAACATAAGAGGCACAAACTAAAATTAATACACAATTTAGAACACTCACAACTTTTCTTCATCAGTAAATACTTCATCCCCAAGCTTTTTGACAGCAACTTGTATCCCTCTCCATGATGCTCTAAGAAAAGTTCCCTAAAGGCCAAACCAGAAAAGAAAAAAAGCACACTCTTTAATCATTTTTAACTGCAATAACATTGATTGCCATACTTATAGTCAGACCTGTGACAGAGAGTCTCAATTCATTCAGATAGGGAGTACCAAGAAGCAATTCCAGTAAAATGCAAACTTATAAGCAATGTAAAATCATGCTGCAAGTGAAATAAAAAATAATGAGTACCTTGTTGATGTTTACGCTTTCGCTAAAATCAATTTCTTGAGGATCAATCTCATATTCTGGGACATCACGGGCATTTTTGACATGCATAGGAGCCATCTATTTATCAACACGTGCAAAAAAGGAGAAGAAAAGGCAGATATGTTAACCAAAAGGTGGTGTGCAATCAATAGCATAAAAGACTACAATAGCGTTTAAACACATGACATACCGGAGGTTTGGCACCATGGTCCTCTAGAGCCTTCACTACCTCATGGTTCTTGTAATATATGGCATCTGCAAGTGGCTGTTGGCCCAATCAAAGATTGTCACATTGACAAAATCCATGTACACGTCCCATAAAACTAAATTTTCGTAAAAATCAGTGAAGGGACCAAAGGAAACAAATCCAAAAAGAAGTTGAGTTATCATGAGAAGTTGCTGCTAAGGAAAAAGCTAACATATGACAGTGTCAGACCTACGTGTACTATGATAGCAAATCAATCTCAGATATCTTCATAAACCAATATAATACCGCAACATACTAAAGCAGTGACCCCTGACATAACTCAAGGCTTCATAACTAAGTTATTCAAGATACAAAATTTTATATTTAATTGCTAGCCTATTAGGCTGCAGTTGGGGCGAGCCGAGATGGCTACGAGAGTGTTCATGGAGGCTTTGGGTATGGGCAGAGGGACTCAAGTGGTGAAGCTATTATGGATTTTGCCCAACCATATGATTTAATTTTGGTTAATACTTGGTTTAAGAAGCTGGATTCACACTTGATAACTTTTCGGAGTGGAGCACCTGCAACACAAATAGACTTCCTGCTGATAAGGAGCACGGATAGACAAAGTTGCTTAAACTGCAAGGTCATCCCAGGAAAGAGTGTGGTCACCCAACACCGGCTTTTGGTTATGACTATTCGTTTGAAAGAGAAGGCGGAAAAAAAAAGGAAGACAAAAGAAGCCAAGGATAAGATGGTGGACTTTAAGGGATGCAAATCCTAAGGTCTTTGCAGAAAAGGTAATCAAGGAGGTGGATCCAGACATGACTTGGTTACGAATGAAGAACTGTTTCCTGAGAGTGGCCAGATAGGTCTTAGGGGAATAAAGGAAAGAACTTCGGAGAGATACTTCGTGGTGGAATGAAGAGGTGAAAGCAGTACTTAAGCAAAAACGGGAATGCTATCAAGCCATGGGATAATGTAGGAGTGACGAAACCTTTGTAGCGTATAAGGAGGCTAAGAGTAAGGCAAAGGCAGTTGTTTGACAAGCGAAAGAAAAGGCTTAAAAGGAGGTTTATGAAAAGCTTAACTCCAAGGAGGGAGAAAAGATCATTTATAAGATGGCAAAGAGAAAACAAGAGGCAAGGAAGGATATTGGCATGGTAAAGTGTGTCAAAGATAAGAGCCAAATTGTCGTATTACAAGAGGGGGACATCAAGGGTGGAAAGGATGAATTGTTTAATGGAAGTAATGGAGTAAAGACAGGAGATACCTCCGTGAGTGATGAAGAAATCAACATGAAATATGTGCGGAGGATTAGAAGAGTAAAGGTGGAGATTGTACTGAAAAGGATAAAGCCTAAGAAGGCGGTTGGTCCTGATGGTATACCGATAAAGGTATGGAGGTGTATGGGTAAGATTGGTATTGATTGGTTAACTCTTTAGCAAAATAAGGAGGGCTACGAGGATTCCGCAAGATTGGAGGAAGAGCACCTTGGTGTCGGTTTATAAGAACAAAGGAGACGCTCAAGATTGTTCTAACTATCGAGGGATCAAGCTTATCAGTCACACTATGAAGTTGTGTAAAAGAGTGATTGAACATAGGTTGAGGGCATGCACAAGCATTTCGAATAACCAATTTGGTTTATGCTTGGGAGATCTACTATGGAAGCAATCCATTTGATAAGACAAATGATGGAGTTTTATCGGGTAAAGAAGAATGATCTTCATATGGTCTTTATTGATTTAGAGAAGGCATATGACAAGGCGCCAAGAGAGGTACTTTGGTGGGCAATGTTGAAGAAAGGTATCCCACGAAAGTACGTGGATTTGGTTAAGGATATGTATCGGGATGTGTCAACAAATGTGAGGATATGTGGAGGGTTGACAAAAGATTTCTCTATTACAATTGGATTGCATCAAGGGTCTGCATTAAACCCTTTTCTTTTTGCAACGGTTCTAGATGAAGTAACTAGACCAATTCAAGATGAGGTTTCATGGTGTATGTTGTTTACGGATGATATCGTTTTAGTGGATGAAACTAAAGATGGGGTTAATGCCAAGTTGGAACAATGGAGGCAAAGGTTGGAATCTAGAGGGTTTAAGCTAAGTCGGAGTAAGACTGAATACTTGGTATATCGCTTTGGTACTCAGAGGGGGACAAGCTATGAAGTGTGAGTTTGGATGGAAAGGAATTAACCATGAGTGAATGTTTAAGTATCTTGGATCAACCATCGTATCGAGAAGTAGCCCGCAGGATTAAGTTGGGGTGGCTTAAATGGAGAGCGGTCACCGGATTGTTATGTGACCGAAGCATTCCCTTACAGTTAAAGGGAAAATTCTACGAAACTGTCATAAGACCAGTGTTGCTCTATGGTACATAATGTTAGGCTTCTAAGAAGGAGCACATTAAAAAGATAGAGGTTACGAAAATGCGCATGTTAAGGTGGATGTGTGGGAACACTCTTAGAGATAAAATCAGAAATGAGGTTATTGGCAAGAAAGTAGGCATGGCAGGCATTGCAGACAAAAGAAGGGAAAATCATCTGCGTTGGTTGGGCATGTAAGACGGAGACCCGAGGGTGCACCGGTTCGAAGAATGGAAGAGTGGGACCATGGAGGGGTTAAACAAGGGATAGGGAGACTGAAAATAACTTGGTTGGAAGGAGTTAGGAAGGATACGAAATATATGGATTTGCATGAGGATGAAGCATTGGATCGTAATGGATGGAGGAGGAAGATTTTTGTGGATGACCACACGAAATAATCAAATTTGGTTCATATAGGCGACCCCACTTATGAGATTAAGGCTTTGATTAATTCATTGATTAGGTTGTAGTATGAAACCTTCAGCAAAAATTCAAGCCCATTCGTTACGGTCAATGTAAACCTAGGTATAGCTAAGGTACTCATTAAACCCTCTTTGTATGTTTTTCTACAACAATTGTGTAGGTGCATCAAACAAAACCTCAATACTTACCCAACAGCCACCTAATGATCAAAAAATAAAAATAAATAAATAAATAAATAAAAAAAGCAACATACATCTACTGTGTGTAATCCCAAGAGAATACAAAAGGGTATGTATAATTAATTATTTTTCTCTCTTGAAACCAAATCAACTCGCTAACAGATGAGAATTGCTGCTTATTTGAAATAAAACCCAACTTTCACAGCATGAAAAATCTTTAAATTGGTAACTTGTAGCCACGTCACAAATAACCTTATCACTTCAATGGATCTAGTAGTTTCTTCAAAGAAAGTACCCTCAATGGATGAAATATAATCCTATGAAATGCTCCAGGAGAATATTGAACGAATTACGTTACTGACTCCCAATCCCACATGTTGTTTCCTGGTATAAATTAGTGTATTACCATTTCTAATTTTCTGAAAAACACTTTCTTCCAGGTAGCAAAACAATATCCTAATAACTACAAAGAGCATATTGAAGCAATATAATGGCTTATTTGCAGAGTTACATTTTATAATATTTTGTAACAACTTCCCACATATTTGAGCTTCGTTAGTCTCGCTCAAACATGACATTTTCTGAATATTCTTCGTATACTATCTTAGTACCATCACAAATCTCAAACTCAACCCTCACCCTAGTCTCCTTAAAAAAAACACATACCCTCACACTAGTCACACATCATCATAATGATGAATAGTGCAGATATCCGAAAGCCCCTCGATACTCCCAATCACCACAAACTAATTCACCAATTACCTCTGTATACCTTAACAATTCCTTAAACAAATGCCGATTAATTATCAGCCACAATATCACTCGCACAATTAAATTTTCAACAAAATTCTGTTCCCCACAACAAGAAGCACCACATCCATTTATTATTCTTCCATCTATTATTTTTAATCCAATACTATGCTAAACAGGGCAAAAGTACCATAAAAAATTACAAACTAGTGATCAGAGTGAAAATTAAAAAATATGCTATAAACACGGTCAAACGACATTATAAGACAATCTTCAACAACCATTATATATAACTTAATTCAAATATCAAAGTAACCAATTAAACGACACCAAATTAATCATCAAATAACCAATAAAAAAATTCAGAATATAATGGGGTCCGCTACATGAACCAAGATTATCGAAGTAACATTACATAATAATACCAAAATAATCATCAATTAACCCTAAATTCAGCACAACGAACCAATAAACATCATAATTAAAACCACCAACAACAACAACGATAAGTTAAAAAATAATTACCGTACTACCCCAACGATCTTTAGGATCAACCTCAGCATTCATATTAATCAACAAATCAACAACATCCACATAACCTTGACAAGCAGCAACATGCAAAGGAGTACGATTATCCATATCCTTAAAATTGACATCAGCACCAGAATCTTCAACCAATTCCTTAATCCCATCCACATCTCCCTCATGAGCCGCAAACATCAGCTTCACACTCGCCGGAATCTCAATCTCACCTCCGTCGTCTTGCCCCTCAGGCTCCGCCGCACCGTCGGAAGATCCATCCGTCAATTCAATCAACGGCAGTCGGAGATCGTCGTTGTTGTCGTCGGAAGTGGCGGTGGTGGTGGTGAGTTTATCGAGGGCGGCGTAGGAGGATTGACGGCCGAGAGGAAACCTTACCGCCCCCGGAGAATCCATGTTTTCCGGTGATCGGAAAGGTGAGGAGAGAGAAAGAAAGGGAGAAAATGGAGGTTTGAATTTTGATTTGCTGTTTTTTTTTTCTTTGGGATTAGCTATATATGCGTCGGTAAAATTGGGGAAATGTTGGGGAGAAAAAGAAGGGGGAGATGTGAGGTGAGGTGAGGTGGTGGTGGAAAGTACGGGGGGTTGACTTTTTGACTTTGGGGGAGAAGTGGGTTTGACGGGGTTAAATGGCGCGTGAAATGTGGAAAACAACGAAGGTAGTGAGATATTGGGTGTTGCGCTTGGTCGGAAGGACAAAACAGTTTTATACAGTAGAATTTTGGAAGTACAGAGTTTATATAGATACGGAGTTCTCTCTGTAAAATAGAGCTGATGTTACGTTTGTCCAAGTGCCAAATTTATAACACAACCTAGGCCTTTTTTGGATATTTTTTCAAATTAAGTCTTTTTGGCAAAATAATTTGCAAAGAGGATGCGTGATAAAACTATTTATCAAATTAAGTTTTTGGGGTAGAATGTTGTCTCGTTTTATACCCTGGTTTTTTTTAAAAAAAAAAAATTCAAAGTATAAAACGTTGTATCGGACAGCGTTTTTAATTGTTGACTTTTTTTTTAATTTTGTAATTTCTGATTTTTAAAAATTAAAAGAAAAAAAAATCAATTACACATAAAACGTTGACTGAGACAACGTTTACAGTGTTTTTTTTTTAAATGAAACGCTGCCTCAGTCAGCGTTTCTTGGGTAATTATGTTCCAGGCAATCGGTTTCGCAGGGCGCTGCATTTTCACTTCACTCATCCCTCAAATTCTCACTTTCACTCTTTGTCACTAACGTAGAAGACCCATACACTTTCACACTCAATCACCGGGCTCGACGCTGCCGCTGCCGCCGGTCGCCGTTGCTAGCTGCTGCTGCCAGTCGCTGTTGTTGTTGCCCCTCTTTCTCACACTCACTCACTCAATTTTGTGGTAAACCCTAAATTCAAATTAGTGTAATGTTGATAATAGCTCTTAGTTGTGGTTAATTAAGGTAAATTGTATCAAATTGTTGCTAATTATTAATGAAAATGCGGTAAATTGTTGATAATTATTGATGCTAATGTGGTACATTGTTGATGAAATTGTTGAAATTGTTGATGGTAATGTGGTACATATTATGTGAAATCTAAGGGCATTATGTTTATAATATTAGTGTGGTTTAAAATGTGATAATTTATCTATAGATTATTGATGAGAAGACTCTTTTCATTACTGATAATTTATCTATCAATTCATATTAGTGTAATGTTTATAATATTAGTTTGTTAGTAATCGTTTTGCATTGCAACCTAAACTAAGAGTTTATAAATGGAGTTAATGCTTAGTTTGTGGGCTCTTGTCAATAGATGAACAAATAATATGGCTCTTGTCAACAAATGAACAAATAATATGGGTCTTGTCAACTTTTTTTTACCTCGTTCTAGATTTCAATTATCCTAAAATGTGATTTGGTTATGTAGAATATGGCTGCACAAAATGTAGTTTTGTTATGCCGGTGGGGATGTGAAATTCTGTTTGATGGACCCCGTGTTGAGTATAGTGGAGGAAATATGAAACCACTAACACTTGAACCGAACATGACTTTCAATGATTTGATGAACGAGGTTCATAGTAGTATTGGTTCAAACCCAAGGAATGTTGAACTAAACATTAAAATGAGGTTTGAGACTGGCAATGGGGTTGAAGTGTTACCTGTTTCTACGAATAAACATTTGAAAGCTTTGAGGAGCGTTGTTGCAATGAAGGGTGTTCCTACTGAGACGTATGTAGAAATGGTGCCTATATGTACCCAACAAAGTACTCGGCCAGAACAACAATCTACATATATTTCCGGTTACAATACAGAGCCCTTCCAAGTGCCCTCACACGACATTCCATCAACTGGATATGGGATGGGATCTTTTAGTCGAATGTTGCACGACGATCAATTTCACATGCCGTTTAGTTCTCATGTAGCTTCACCAGTACATGGGGGGGCATATGTGGCAATGACTGGCCAACCTGGTCCTTCGACATCAAACACCGTTACACCTTCACCGATGCAATTGCACAGTTCTTCGCCTATGTAAGATGATGATCAAGCATCACCGTCTCAACTTGTGCCAAATCATCTTGAAACTATTGTGAATAACGAATTGTCTTTGTATGATGTGTATACAAATGATGAGGCCGAAAGCGGAGAGGAGGAAGATGGACTTCAGAACATGGATGTTGAACCTGCACACATGGAAGTTGGCGAGCCCCTGGTTAGAACTCCCGTACCTTGGTTCAGTCGGGTAAACGAGAACTATGAAGTTGATCAGTATTGGGCCAAATCGGGTAGCCATACATCGTTTGTTCCCGGGGGAGAATTTGAGAAGGGCATGTATTTTGAAAGTAAGAAAATGCTTCAAGAAATGGTGAAGATGTATTCTATACAGAAGAATCAATTCTACACCACAGTGACATCGAATGAGAGTGTCCTTCATTACGGTGCAAGAAGAAATGTGGTTGGATGCTACGGGGTACCAAATCAAGTGAGCACTCGCGTGGCTTTACCCTAGTCACATACAAAGGCCCGCACCGGGAGAACTGTGTCACTGAAGTACTATAGCTGAAATATTTGGGGATTGGGAGAGTTCTTACGGCAGACTTCCGCACTTCATGCAAGCACTGCAACAGTCAATCCCAGGAACCGTTGTCGTACGGAAACACAAAGCTCTAGTGGATGGTGTATACTACAGAAACATGGAAGTGTTTGAACGAGTGTTTTGAGCCTTCGGTCCTTGTATCGACGGTTTTAAACATTGTATGCCTGTTATCTATATCGATGGGACACACTTGTACGGGAAGTATAAAGGAACACTGTTGGTTGCTACAAGTGTGGAAGCAAGCTTCCAAGTATTTCTGCTAGCATTTGCATTGGTTGAAGGGGAAAACACATCTAGCTGGTCTTGGTTTCTGGGCTGCATTTGGGTTCATGTCACGCAACGAGATGGCCTCTGTGTTATATCTGATCGACATCCTGGGATCATTGCAGCAATGAATGATCCTAACGTTGGATTCACCGAGTCGCGAGCCTATCACAGATTTTGTGTTAGCCACATAGCTTATAACTTGAAGACTCACGTGCGAAGCAACGACATGAGAGATATGTTCAAGGCTGCTGCGTACCAAAGACAAGAAAGAAAACTTCAATCTGATCTGTGTTTCATCGGTGAGGCATGTACCAAGGCCATGGAGTATATTGTTCAAGTCTCGTTTCCTATGTGGTCTCTCTTCCATGACGCTGGTCGCAGATATGGGATATGTACTACAAACTTCTCTGAAACATTTAACAATGTGTTGAAGGGAGCTCGGTTTCTACCGATCATGTCCCTTGTCGAGTTAACTTTCCACAGAGTTAATAGGTATTTCACTGTAAGAAGGGAGTCTTCTAAGGCTAGGTCTGAGCAGGGACTTGCATACCCCCCCCCCCCCAAGGTCACTGCCATTCTGGAGAAGAACACCGTAAAAGCCAGATATCATAGAGTGGATGCGTATAACCGCCGATTGCATATTTACGAAGTTACAACAGAAAAGGGAAAGCGACTCGGTAGAAAAGGAGGCCATAAACATACTGTTTACTTTTAGTTGAGAACGTGTACATGCTACAAACCAAAGATATTCCATCTCCCATGTTCTCATGTTCTAGGAGTCTGCGCGACGTATTCACTATCAGAGCGGTTGTGGGAGGATCTTGTGCTACAATCGGAGGCCTATACGAACACCTATGCACCACAGTTCTGGCTTATCCCCTGTGAGACGACCTGGACACAGTACGTCGGCCCTAAACTCATTCCGGACGGCAGCATGGTACGTGGAAAAGGTCGGTCAAAGTCAAAGCGCATACGCAATGAAATGGATGAGACTCACCGGTCCCTGAGTAAATGCAGCCGCTGTCACCTGCAGGGTCACAACCGCACAACGTGTCCGTCTAGATCGACCGGGACCTAAGTTTGTATCTATAATTTGATGTAGTTGAATAGTACATTATTTTGTATTTGATTTTGTAACGTTTGTAACATTTGGATCATTTCTATTTTGAATGTTGTCATTTGAAATTTTTCGTCGTTGCATTTAACTCGTCCAACTCATGTTTAATTGATGATCTAATAATTGTGTTGATAATTGGTGTATAACGTTGTTAATGAAATAGATTAAATGGACGGACAAGATAGGACACCCGGACCTGTTGACCCTTTTGTCCTGACACTACAGGACACACATCGGAGCGTTAACATATGGGACCAGTCGGTAATATTTCATCCGTCAGTTTATGTACTTATGCATCTTAAATTGATATACTATTTGATATTAATTATGTTCGTACAGTTTTTTATCAGCTTGAACCGGCGAGGATGCTGGTTTGCAGGTACTACACTACAAGGGTTATGGCGGATTGGGTTGTTGATCGACGCGTTATTGCGTACGTCGAGTTGGCTGGCTTGGGTGGTATTCATCGGATGGCGTTCAGGGAGATCGATCGAGTACTCATCCCTGCGGTCGCGGAGAGGTGGAGACAGGAGACGCACTCCTTCCATCTACCGGTTGGGGAGGCGACCGTTACGTTGCGTGACGTCGCGATACTCACGCGCCTTCCCATACATGGGGCTGCAGTGACAGGACAAGCGTTAGTCGACCCCGTTGGTTTGGTAGCTCGGGTTCAGCTAGGTCCCAACGAGATCAGGGGTTCCGGGTTGAGGACCGGATGGATACGCGAGACTTTCCGTATGCTGCCTGTGGACGCTAATGTCACCACAGTTCAGAGACACGCTCGGGCATACTTGTTCCTGCTCATCTCGGGCGTGTTGTTCGGCAACAAGAGCAGGAGCCATCTGCAGCTTATTTACATACAATTATTAGACCACGACTGGGATCATATCCATGGCTACAGCTGGGGTAGTGCCTGTTTGGCGACGTTGTATCGCCAGCTGTGTAGAGTATTCCACCGCGGTTCTGGCGAGATCGAAAGTCATTTGATTATGCTTCAGGTAACTCACCTAATTATCAACAATCTATTTTGTCTATTACTTACCTAGTTTATACTTAACCTAGTTTTGTATTTCTGTGTTACAGTTATGGGCTTGGGAGCATATCCATGTAGGCAGACCAGGTAGGCCTGCTGTACATCGTCAGGGGCAGTAGGACCGGGATGACCAATATCAGCCGTACGATGCTTCACCGCTCCCTACACCTGACGAGGCTTACGGTTGCAGGTTTTTTTACAGTTATCATTACTGTAGACTTCATGCGGTTTTATTTTGCT